TACAAAACATGTTAATAAGTAATACCATTTTTGTTTTGCTTTAAAAAAAAGTTAAATATAAGCATATATACACACATATATAGGAAGTTTCTACAAGGACATTCGAAATTATCAATAGTGGTTATCTATGGACAGTGGGTCACCTGAGAAAGAAGTAGTAGCTTTTTACTTTTTACCTTGCGTTCTTTGTATCTTTTGAAACCATGAACACTATTACTTTGATTTATTCAACATTTTTTTTAAAAGATAGGCAGTATGTTCACATGGTTCTAAATAAGGTAAAATCATAGCCCCTCAGCCTCCTTCAGTTTTCTTCTCAGAAGGCAGTTTTATAGCAGTTTTTTTGTGATCCTTCCAGAGACATGTTATGCATTTAACAGTCTATACGTATATGTATGCCTTATAAATATGTATAAACATACACACATGCATATACACATACAGTTTACACTGTTTTATATCTTGCCCTTTTTAAAAATCATTTTATTAGGGGCTCATACAGCTCTTATCATAATCCACACATCCATCCATGTGTGAAGCACATTTGAACAGTCATTGCCCTCATCATTCTCAAAACATTTGCTCTCTACTTTGTATCTTGCCTTTTATCCTATGTAATATGACATAAAGGTTTTTCAATATCAGTAAATTAAGAGAATCTATCCCACCTTACCAGCAGCATAGAAATCAATTATAAGGAAATATATTATTTTTCACTTAACTAGTCTCTTACTGATGGCTCTTTCCAATCTTTTGCTACTATGATAGATAATGTTGCAGGGAATAACAATCATTACATTCATGCAAACATTACAAGTAAATTCCCAAACAAAACTGCCAACTCAAAGGGGATGTATATATAATTTTTTGAAAAATACTGCAAAATTGCTTTCCACAAAGATTATCCCAATTAACAGTCCTACTGCTTATTACTAATTATTGCCTTTTATTTTATCTAACTTATTAAATTTAAAATTGCATTTCAGTAGTTTTAATTTATGTTTATATTTTTCTTATGAATAGATATGTAAATTTAATTCAAGTTATCGATATGTATCTTCATATGACTAATATTATTTATTTTTTTGGTGAAGTGATTCATTTTACATTTTTTTAAATAAATACTTTTATTGGGGGCTCTTACATCTCTTATCACAATCCATCCATTCATCTAGTGTGTCAAGCACATTTGCTGCCACCATCATTTTCAAAGCATTCTCTTATCACTTGAGCTCCTGATATAAGCTCCCCATTTCTTCCCCCACCCTCCTTCACGAACCCTATAAGTTATAGATTATTATTTTCATATCTTACATTGTCCTCCGTCACCCCTCACCCACATTTCTGTTGTTTGTACCCCTGGGAGGGGGTTATATGTTGATTCTTGTGATCAATTCTCCCTTGTTTCCCCCACCCTCCCCTAATCCTCCTAGTATTGCTACTCTCCTTGTTGACCCTGAGGGGTTTATCTATCCTGGATTCGCTGTGCTGTGGGCTCTTAGCTGTAGCAGTGTGCATGTTCTGGTCTAATCTGATTTGTAAGGTAGAATTGAGGTCATGATAGTTGGGGGAAGGAAGCACCAAAGATAGAGAAAAGTTGAATGTTTCATTGGTGCTATACTGCACCCTGACAGACTCATCTCTTCCCTGTGACCCTCTGTGAGGGGATGTCCAATCGTCTATAAATGGGCATTGGGTCTCCACTCCATACCCCCCAACTCATCCCCATTCACCTTGGGTATGATTTTGTTCTGGGTCTTAGATGCCTGATACCTGATCCCAGCAACAGCTCATGATCAAACAGGCTGCTGTGCTTCTTCCATGTGGGCTTTGCTGCTTCTGAGCTGGATGGCTGCTTGTTTATCTTCAAGCTTTTAAGACTCCAGACACTGTATCTTCTGAAAGCTGGGCACCATCAGCTTTCTTCACCACATTTGCTTATGCACCCATTGTGTCTTCAGCAATAGTGTCGGGAAGGTGAACATCACAGAATGCCGGATTATTAAAACAAAGTGTTCTTGTGTTGAGGGAGTACTTGAATCAAGGCCCAATGTCCATCTGCAACCTTAATTCTTAACATATAGATGAGTACATAGTTCTATTTCCCTCTTGTTATATATATATTTACATATGCACATGCCTATATTTAGACCTCTATAAATATCCTTTGCCTCCTGGTTCTTTCCTTTATTTCCTTTTGCATTCCTCTTGCCCCACCATCATGTTCGGCCTTTATTCGGGTTTAGTAATTCCTCGCTGCTACATTGCCCTTGATTAAGCCCCACTAGGCATCCTACGCCCTTCACTCAATTGATTTTTGTTCACTTATTGTTCCCTTGTACCTGGGTTGGTGCCCACCCCCTTCCTTTCTCCCACCTCCCCTTCCCCTGTATACCCCCAAACCATTGGTCCCGTTCTTTTCATCTCCGAATTATTTACCCCACCTATCTTATCTAGATAGACATGCAGATACATTAATAAGTGCAAAAACCAGGCAAAGCCAAATAAAACAACAAAGGGAGTCAAGGTCAACAAAACAATAACAACAACAAAAAGAAAGCCACTCACAAAAAATGGAAAAGCCTATAAATAATTCAAGGTCTGTTTGTTGGCCTTCACGAGTGTTTTCCAGTCACGTCTGATGGGGTGCTACATTCTGTCTCCAAAGTCTATTTTTGGTATTCCCTGAGGATTTCATCACTTTGCTGCTCTGTTGCATGCCCTTAGTGTTTTGCCCCAGCGTGATGGGGTCAGACTAATATTATTATAGGAAAGATTAATTTAGAGAAAACTCTGATAGCTTGATTTTATTGTTCTAAACAAGCTGATGGACCTTAAGGGTTTACATATCACTCCATCGAAACTATAAAATACCAAGGGCTCAAGTAGAAAGAAAATGTTTTGAGAATAATGATGGCAACAAATGTACAAATGTGCCTGACACAGTGGATGTAAGTATGGAGTGTGGTAAGAGTTGTATGAGCCCCCAATAAAATGATTTAAAATAAATAAATAAAACTATAAAATACACTTATTTATCAGAAAAAAACAGTAAATTCTGTAAAAAATTTGTTTAATTGCTCCTAAATATGCCAACATTAGCACAAAACAAAAATATTTTTAAAATTTCACTCATTTAAGAGAAACGTCATTTACATATTTGAACTATATTTTATTTACTTACTTCATAAGGAGAACATTTTCTTCTGCCTTTTCTATAAATAAAATAAAAATAATAATTGTTCAAAGATAACTTGATAAAGCATTAGAAAAATTACATACATATATAAACAACTGTATAAAAATTACTCACTACCCACTCCCATGGCCCAACTAATTCTATGAAGACAAAAAAATGAGTTTTATCAATTATCTGGTTAGACGGTCACAGTAATAATTTTTTTGATCTTTTATTTTTTCCCAAATATTTTTTTTCCAAATAATATTTTTATTGACATATCTTGCTTGTTCCAATATATCCATTCCCTTCCCATACAGTTTTACTGTTCAATCCAATTGGGTAGAGCTATAAAATCATCAATGTTATCAATTCCCCCACTACCCTCCTCACTTCCTGTACCCTCAGGGAACCCATACTCCTGTTAGTGTCTCTGAGGGGTCATCGATCTTGACTACCATGTCCCAAGTGATCTTAAATGTACAAATGAACATACACAAGTTTAACATGATCAATGAGGCATATCACATATGGACCATAATACCAAGGGGAGGAAATCTTAAAGAGCTAGAGAATAGTTCTGTATTTCATCAGTCCAACATCACACCCTGGAATTATCCTCCATTCCATGAGGCTCTTCTAAGAGGGACTGTCCAATTGTCTTGCTGGTGGACTTTGGGTCTCCACTACATCCACTCCCCCTCATAGCAATTTGGGTGTGTGTTCTAATAGCTCTTTCTGTCCACACCTCATGATCACACACCTTCGTGTGCTTCTTCTTCTATGTGGGCTTTGTTGTTCTCGGCTAAATGGCTGCTTATTTAACAAACAGTCTTTAAGACCCCAGACACTATAGCTTTTGATAGCCAGACACCATCCGCTTTCTTAATTTACTTATGCACCATTTTGTCTTCAGTGATAGTGTCAGGGATATTGGTATCATATTATCATCCAGTGCCACCTTACTAGAAATAAACCTTTCTTGTACAGAGGTAAGATTTAAGTAGACGCCCAAAGACAACAGATTTTTACAGGAATTGCTATGACCTGCAATTTCCGACTTTCTTGATATTTTCACATGAGATTCTGTCTGGAATATCCTATAAGAGAAAATAAATATTACTGAAAATCTGTAATCTTACATTAGAACATTTGATGTTCATTTCTAGTCTGCTTTGAGCGAGATAAAAGAAAAATTTTATTTTGATTAGCCTTTTCTTTACATTATGTAATACTGCTTTTTGAAATGACAAAATTAGCTTACCACATTAAAATCTGCTATGGTTTCTTAAGTGCTCTCATCTAATCATTCTTTTATCTCTCTCAATAACTTAAAAGTATTAGTGGACCACCCAAACATCAGTCTCCACAACCCTGAGACGAGAAGATATGAGTGATGATTGTGTATCAACTAACAAGTGGTAACATTCACAATGAAAAATTATTGAAATGCAAAGAGAGTGAGAGATAGTTAAAATTTATTGTGCCAACCTAGCCAATATGTGGGGTTAATTGAAGGGCAGAGAGACAAAATGGTTTGGTGAGCCTCGCTTTGCTACTTCTCGGGTCTCTTGCTCTGATGGTTGGACCAGGGTGTAGCTGCCTTAGCCAGTTCCTTGCTTCAGCTGGCAAGGCTCACTTCCTACGAGCCATCCCCGAGGAGAAGCCACATGGACCTACCCAATGCAGCCCTGGGTGCTGGAGCACCCGTATGGAGACCCCTGCCAGCGCTGAGATGCGTACATGCTCACTAATTCGGCTCTCCTCCTGCAGTCGGCATCCTTACATATGTTTTGTGAGATGAAGGAGGACTTTGTGGATTGGTGTCGGACATATGGGCTAATGTTGGACTTGTGGACTTGGGCAGCACTGGGTTGGGATGTTTTCTTGATGTACACTTACCCTTTATATAAAACTCTCTTATACATATGAGTTTCTGTGGCTTTGTTTCTCTAAAGTACCCAGACTAACACAGAGTGAAACACTAAAAAGAACCTAATTTACGTCTATTTTATAACTAATGACCAATTAAAGAGGCCCAAGCTATATGATTATAGAAGATCCTAAAAAAGCAGCTCACAAGATAAGTTTATACTCATATATATCAAACTGTAAACCTGAAAATACAAACTATCATCTTCTCAAGTACCTTTGGAAAACCCACAAAAACTGATCATATCAAAGATCACAAAAAAAATTTCAATAGGATCAAAATATTACAGATTTTTTTTCTTTAATATTAGATTTATATTCTTTGGCTACCAGTATAACTAAAAATTAAAGAAACAAAAAATGCTCATTTTGATGAATTATGTGGTATGTGAATTATCTTACTAAAGCTACTAAAAAAAAATTTAAGCCCATTTTCAACAGCTCTTATACAACTCTTAAATTAAAAGTAAATATATACTGATGAACATCAAGAAATAATAAGTATAAGAATTGCTTATATATTAACTTAGAGAGAACTGACTTCATGACATTGAATCTTTTTATTCAGGGACATGCTGTGTCCTCATTTGTTCAATCCATAAAGGGTCCTTTAGTAGAATTTTACCCTTTACATAGCAACAAAAGAGAATATAATGCAGCTGGGGGCAACATTTATCTTCTTTCTGATTATTTACATACAGAAATGAAATCTACTGATTACCACATATTAATTTATACTCCATAAATATCTACTATCTGTAATATTCCAATTGATATTCTTGAATCTTTCCAATATATAATTATTTAAACTACACAAGGTAACAAATTGACTCTATTCTTTCCAATTTTTATAATCCTGATTTCTTTCTCTAATTTAGACCTGTTGGCTAGTACCTTTAAAATATTATGAAAAAAAATACATATATATATATATATGAATGTTAAGTGGACATCTCTGTTTTGTTTAACTTTAGAGGAAATGTTGTCAATGTTTCTCTTCTAACCATAATGTTGAATTGACATCGTTTTAAATAAAAATTCTTTAATGTTTATCTAATGGAGACAGATTATCTGAGTCACTTAGGACCAACATATTTGGTTGGACACATTAAAAAAAAGCATTACTTGTACAGATAGGAAGTGGAAACACAAAGAATCCAGGACAGATGATCCCTTCAGGACCAGTGGTGAGAGTGGCGATACCGGGAGGGTGGAAGGAAGGTGGGGTTGAAAGGGGGAACTGATTATAAGGATCTACATATAACCTCCCTGGGGGATGGACAACAGAAAAGTGGGTGAAGGGAGGCTTCGACAGTGTAAGATATGACAAAATAATAATAATTTATCAATTATCAAGGGTTCATGACGGAGGGGGTGGCGGGGAGGGAGGGGAAAAAATAAGGGCTCAAGTAGAAAGCAAATGTTTTTAGAATGATGATGGCAACAAATGTACAAATGTGCTTGACACAATGCATGTATGGATTGTGATAAGCGTTGTATGAGCCCCCAATAAAATTTTTTTTTTTTAAAGCATTACTTGTATCTTAATTATTTTTTCTTTCAACTTACTTTATAGTATCTGCAAAGCTGACCCGGCGAGAACTTTTCCTATTTTTCATTACATTTGAATCCTAAGGACAAAGCATATATGGTATGATTCTTAGTAAAACTACTGTGAATTAGGTCTCCAGATTACTATGAACAGATATCAGGTCTTTATTAATTCGGAATTAATTTAGTATACGATTCTCTAAGATATCGCAATGGAGAAGAACTTAGGAAACATGGATAAGATTTCTAGTTTGAGTGGTAACAAGCATACAGATTTAAGCAATACACATTTTAAAAAGGTGATTACTGCTTACCTTTTCTTAATCTATCAGGAGAAAGACTTAAGACAAAGCAAGCGGTATATTGCATGTTATGGTATAATTACTATAATATAATATTTTCGTTTTCTCTCCCAACCTTCCTCCTTAATAAGAGCAAACATCTCTACCCACATAGTTATCAACACACAAAAAAATTGAGAGAAAGAAATGAAATTCACTGTTTTACTGAAATATTAGATTCATGTCTGAGCATTCTTTTTATTACAATAGAGAATCAGGAATACATTTGTAAAACGTTAATAATATATAGGGGGAGAAGGAGAATGAAAGACTAGCTAGGGAAATAGCCAGTGTAAAGTCTTATAAACTTGGCAGCTCATGTCTGGGTAATAAGCAATTCTCCCCTCCAAGTACTAACCAGGCCCGACCCTGCTTAGCTTCCGAAATCAGAGAAGATCTGGCACATTCAGGGCAGTTTGGCCATAAACATTGAGCAATTCTGAATGGTTTGAGTGGTAGGAAAAGACTGGAGAACAACCTGAAGGAATGGGATTTCTGAACTTATTTAATACAACTGGTAACCACACATTCAATCATTTATGACAGTCTTTCTTCATATAGTTGTTAATAAAATTTCCAACTATTAAAAATATCACTGAAAGCAGTCATACATAAAGTCTTTGCACTAAGACTTACCTGAACTGCATCATTCCCACCTTTGAGATCCTGAAGAGGACTCCTTGGAGGTTTCAAAATCTAGAAGTAATAGAATTATTCAAGAAAATCTTTCGTATTAGTAATCAGATCAGGTTATACTTTTAATGTTGAGTTCCAGAAATTCCCATAAAAATCTCTAATACTCCTTAAATTCATATGTCTCTGTGCTATATATCCTGTAGCTAACACCTGGTCAGTAAATTAGCTCTGGTAGCTTAGTGGGTTATGCATTGGGCTGTGATGCATTGGGCTAGCTAAATGTCAGCAGTTTGAAACCCCAAGTTGCTCCACTGGAGGAAGATGATTTCTACTCCTATAGGAGTAGCGTTCCAATCTTGGAAACCCACAGAGACAGTTCTACTATGTCCTACAGGATAACTATGAGTCAGAATCGACTTGATAGCAGTAGGTTGGTCTGGTTTTGGTCAGTAAGTTATACCTAAAACCATTCTTACCTGTGGATTTTCAGTTTCGTAAACCATTATTTTTCTTAAATCATTTTGGAGTTATTTGTGCCTTATAACAACTTCATACATGTTAAATATACTTTTTGACAGCTTTACTCAGGTATGATTTACATATATAATTTACCCATTTTAAGTATGCAATCTAATAACTTTTTTCATTATGGTGAAAATATACTGAAGAAAGCTTAGACTGACTCAATTTCTACATGTACAATTTATTGGCAATTATTGCCTTCTTCAAGTTGTAGAACCATTCTTAATATCCTTTTCCAAATAATTCCATCACCATTAACAGCAACTCATTAGTCTCTAAGCAATGCCCACTCCTGGAACCACTAGTAATATTTGATCTCTGTATATCTGTTTATTTCATGTAAGACCAGTGTTGTCCTTTTGCAACTGACATTTTACTCAGCAGGTTTCCAGGCTTCCTGCATGTTACAGTTTACATCAGTGTGGTAGTTACATAATCTGGTGTCAACTTGAAACTATTAAGAGTGAAGGGGTGGAGTTTAGCCTGTCAATCAGGTAGCAGCTTGATGAACTCATTTGGAGGCACTAAGGCGATAAATAGCTCACTGGAGACCAGACTCACACTCTCTGCCTCTCTCCCTGAGAGACATTCCTGTTAACAAACCACATGGAGATATGCTGATGGAGCCAGAGCCCTGGAGCTAGAGGAGCCATGTGGAGACCCACGCCAGTGCTGAGATGCTTCCACTACCACTGGATCGACAAAAGACTTACACTGGCCTGTGATTTTCCTGCATTCAGCATCATTGCATGTATTCGTGAGTCTGAAGAGGAATTTACAGAATGGTATTGGACATATGGGCTAAGATCAGACTTATGGACTTGATCTGGACTGGGCTGGGATATTTTCTTAATATACAATTACAGTGAACCCTCGTTTATCGCGGTTAATCGGTTCTAGACCCTACCGTGATAAATGAAATTCCGCGAAGTAGGATTCCTTATTTGTAAATCAAATATTTTCGTATATAGAGCATAGAGGACATGAAAAAACACCCTTTAGTCACCATTACACTCGCATTACCCAATTTATTAAACGAAAAAGGGAAAATACAGTAAAACATTTTGGATGTTACAATTATCATTTATTATTTATTATATTATTTATGGCATCAAGCGTGTACAGTATGAGCCAATCAATGGCAGTAATGACAGAGCATGCGCTGTTACGCAAAAACCGCGATAGAGTGAAGCCGTGGAAGTCGAAGCGTGAAGTGGCGAGGGTTCACTGTACTCTTATATATATAAAGCTCTTTCTTGTACACATGAGTGTCTATGAATTTGTTTCTCTTGTCAACCCAGACTAACACAATCAGGATTTCAATTCTCTTTATGACTGATTAGTAGTTTATTGTGTGCATGTAACACAATGACGATTCAAAGGTTTTTTTATTAAAATTATAAAATTGTGTAACTAGGTTACGTATCCTTATCCATAGAGAAATAAGTTAGTGGAAACTTGTGTGGGGAAGCTCCAATGAAAATTATTGTGGTATATAGTGCAGTATATCTTTCAATAAAAAGTAACAATTAAAATTAGTTTAAATAAATATTTCTTACTGAGGAATGACGTCTTCTAACAGTTCTCTCTATATTTTCACTGAAAGAGAAAAAAAACAAATATTTACCTACACACCAGTAAAACTACATTTCCCAAAGCCATCACTACAGTACCCCTTACATGCCTTTAAACCAGCCAGCCCTTTCATAGCAGTATTTAAGAAATCAATGTTTTAAAGTTCATATCATATGTAAGACTGTCTCTGCCCAGAGAAGAGCCGCTTCCAGCACAGCTGGGCCTGGGCCAGCGCACCCCACCCGCAGGTCGCAGGCTTCTCGGGCTTTCTAAAAGCAAACCCGAGAGAAAGGGCACGGCCGGAGGTGGGGACGGGCGCCCTGGAATCTGCCACTCGGAAGGTTCCTACTGCCAGAGACGTGGACGACCTCGCCAAAATGCCGTCTCAAATGGAACATGCCATGGAAAAAATGATGTTCACGTTCCACAAATTTGCTGGGGACAAATGGTACTTAACGAAGGAGGACCTGCGGGTGCTCATGGAGAAGGAGTTCCCTGGATTTTTGGAAAACCAAAAAGACCCTCTGGCCATGGACAAAATAATGAAGGACCTGGACCAGTGCCGAGACGGCAAAGTGGGCTTCCAGAGCTTCTTTTCCCTCATCGCCAGGCTCAGCATCGCCTGCAACGACTATTATGTCATCCACATGAAGCAGAAGGGAAAAAAGTAAGAGGTGGCAGACTGGAAGAATCTTTCCCACCCTGACCAGAGGAATCCCAAAGATTTGCTTTAAGGGTTCTGTCCCACAGCTTCTCCCCTGTGGGGATTGCTTGAGCGGGCTGGGGTCCTTTAAGGTGACATGTACAAATCAAAGCCAAGCCCCATCTGTTAAGTAGAGAAAAGAACGTCAATTCCATGCCACATAAGCTTTTGATTTTTACATTGTTTGAGTCCTCTTACCTACAATAAACAAATTCCTTTTTTAATACCTAAAAAAAAAAAAGACTGTCTCTTACAGAACAATGCAGTACAACATAGCCTAACATATTTTCAGAGATATAATTACAGTTGACCCATGGATAACACAGGTTTAAGTTGCATGGGCCCATTGATATTACGGATTTTTTTCCTGTTGCTTTTACAGTGATCACACGTGTTATAAGTACCCGCTTAAAAACACCATGTGAGCCATCTAGCTCAGAAGCAACAAAGCCCACATGGAACAACATATCAGCCTGTGTGATCACGAGGTGTCGAAGGGATCACTGA